GATGGAGTTGTCGTCTAAGATGGAGTGGTAACCATTTCATGTCTCTATAAACATTAAGGCTGCTCTCTGTTTGTGGAACGTTGAGAGCTATTTTGGCTACCTTTTTGTACAGAGTGTCAAGTTCAGCAAGTTTTGTTTTGCCAGCTCTACAATAGATCGTGTCTAAATAATCGAATTGTGGCAACATGAGTGCATTGGCAAACATTTTCCTATATTTAATGGGTAGCAGTGCTTTACTTTTATACATGGCACCAATTCTCTTCATGACCTTCCTAATAATATAATCTACATGGCTTTTAAAGTTTAATTTACTATCTAGAATGAGGCCAAGATATTTTGTCTCTTTGCACTCCTTGATTGTGAAAGTTACTTCATTACATTCAATGGTTAATTCATCATGTTGATCAACAGAATCAAAATATAGGAATTCAGTCTTCTTTTCATTGAGTGATAATTTATTTACACTGAGCCATTTAAAGATTGTCATAAGTTCTATTTTCATGTTTATAAATGTGCTTCTGCAGGTTTGATCAAAGAATAGTGCACCATCATCTGCAAATAGAAAGGGCTTAGATAGGTTACAGGCATAAATGATGTCATTTATGAAGATACTAAATAATATAGGCCCAATGATGCTTCCTTGTGGTACACCACTCAGAACTTCTAAAAATGAACTTAGTTTGCCATTGATCCTAGTGCATTGATATCTACAAGATAAGAAGTTCTTAAACCAAGTTAAAGCAATGCCACCAATTCCATAATATGCCAATTTTTGAAGCAATATTTCATGATTTACTGTGTCAAAGGCCTTCTTAAGATCAAAAAAGATGATTCCTGGTTTATAAGACTTAGATTTACTCATATATATTTCGTCCATCAGATCGTATATCAAATAAGTTGTGGATTGAAGATTTAATTTTTTACACATTAACCCCTCACTCTGCCTCCAATCTAAACACATTCTTTAAATAACCAACACATGGTCTAAAACCCAATCTCAGACAAAAAATTACAACTAGACACAATCTTTCTGTATAAAGATGCTACTGATGAGAAGCCTCCTTAAAGTTTATTTGGGTTAGAAACGACATCTGGGTCCCTACCCTCGCACAAGATTATTCTCAATTTTCTTGTTGTGTCCACAACTATACCGTTGATCAGAGTCACATCTGATGACTTCAGTGAAAGGGCTGATGACTTCAGTGAAAGAGCTGGTGACCTAGTGAAAGTGCTGGTGACGATGAGAAAGACCATAAACCAGGGATTCCTTCGGGAGCATGTAAGATTATATCCAAAGTTTGTTCGCCAATGGGGTGTGTCTGGGTGTCAAAGATCTTCAAGGTGGGTGCTACTTGTGATGAACTCTAGAAGGATGGGATGGTAATACTCGGTCTGGCCGTCTGGAAGCCCATAGAATTCCAGTTCAGAAACCGAGTAAGGAGGTGCGGCTACTGATGAGAAGCCTCCTTAAAGTTTATTTGGGTTAGAAACGACATCTGGGTCCCTACCCTCGCACAAGATTATTCTCAATTTTCTTGTTGTGTCCACAACTATACCGTTGATCAGAGTCACATCTGATGACTTCAGTGAAAGGGCTGATGACTTCAGTGAAAGAGCTGGTGACCTAGTGAAAGTGCTGGTGACGATGAGAAAGACCATAAACCAGGGATTCCTTCGGGAGCATGTAAGATTATATCCAAAGTTTGTTCGCCAATGGGGTGTGTCTGGGTGTCAAAGATCTTCAAGGTGGGTGCTACTTGTGATGAACTCTAGAAGGATGGGATGGTAATACTCGGTCTGGCCGTCTGGAAGCCCATAGAATTCCAGTTCAGAAACCGAGTAAGGAGGTGCGGCTACTGATGAGAAGCCTCCTTAAAGTTTATTTGGGTTAGAAACGACATCTGGGTCCCTACCCTCGCACAAGATTATTCTCAATTTTCTTGTTGTGTCCACAACTATACCGTTGATCAGAGTCACATCTGATGACTTCAGTGAAAGGGCTGATGACTTCAGTGAAAGAGCTGGTGACCTAGTGAAAGTGCTGGTGACGATGAGAAAGACCATAAACCAGGGATTCCTTCGGGAGCATGTAAGATTATATCCAAAGTTTGTTCGCCAATGGGGTGTGTCTGGGTGTCAAAGATCTTCAAGGTGGGTGCTACTTGTGATGAACTCTAGAAGGATGGGATGGTAATACTCGGTCTGGCCGTCTGGAAGCCCATAGAATTCCAGTTCAGAAACCGAGTAAGGAGGTGCGGCTACTGATGAGAAGCCTCCTTAAAGTTTATTTGGGTTAGAAACGACATCTGGGTCCCTACCCTCGCACAAGATTATTCTCAATTTTCTTGTTGTGTCCACAACTATACCGTTGATCAGAGTCACATCTGATGACTTCAGTGAAAGGGCTGATGACTTCAGTGAAAGAGCTGGTGACCTAGTGAAAGTGCTGGTGACGATGAGAAAGACCATAAACCAGGGATTCCTTCGGGAGCATGTAAGATTATATCCAAAGTTTGTTCGCCAATGGGGTGTGTCTGGGTGTCAAAGATCTTCAAGGTGGGTGCTACTTGTGATGAACTCTAGAAGGATGGGATGGTAATACTCGGTCTGGCCGTCTGGAAGCCCATAGAATTCCAGTTCAGAAACCGAGTAAGGAGGTGCGGCTACTGATGAGAAGCCTCCTTAAAGTTTATTTGGGTTAGAAACGACATCTGGGTCCCTACCCTCGCACAAGATTATTCTCAATTTTCTTGTTGTGTCCACAACTATACCGTTGATCAGAGTCACATCTGATGACTTCAGTGAAAGGGCTGATGACTTCAGTGAAAGAGCTGGTGACCTAGTGAAAGTGCTGGTGACGATGAGAAAGACCATAAACCAGGGATTCCTTCGGGAGCATGTAAGATTATATCCAAAGTTTGTTCGCCAATGGGGTGTGTCTGGGTGTCAAAGATCTTCAAGGTGGGTGCTACTTGTGATGAACTCTAGAAGGATGGGGTGGTAATACTCGGTCTGGCCGTCTGGAAGCCCATAGAATTCCAGTTCAGAAACCGAGTAAGGAGGTGCGGCTACTGATGAGAAGCCTCCTTAAAGTTTATTTGGGTTAGAAACCAGGGGCTACATCACGTCTTCAACCCAGGGGGGGCAAGGGGGCGAAGCCCCCTGCGGGGTCCAGGGGTGGAGCCCCTGGTGGGGGGTAGGGGGTCGAAGCCCCTTGTCGAAGGATAGGGGGGCGAAGCCCCCCGGAAAATTTTTAAGGAAATTAGACAATTTTGACGCATTTTCCAGTACTTGAGGGACACGAATTTACGTTAGCAGCAAACCGTCTGGTTTAATGTTATGTTGAAGAATAAATTTTCATGTTTTTGTAAACTTGTCCCCCAAACCCCAGGGGGGGCAGCTGCCCCCCCTGCCCCCCCGGTGATGTAGCCCATGGAAACGACATCTGGGTCCCTACCCTCGCACAAGATTATTCTCAATTTTCTTGTTGTGTCCACAACTATACCGTTGATCAGAGTCACATCTGATGACTTCAGTGAAAGGGCTGATGACTTCAGTGAAAGAGCTTGTGACCTAGTGAAAGTGCTGGTGACGATGAGAAAGACCATAAACCAGGGATTCCTTCGGGAGCATGTAAGATTATATCCAAAGTTTGTTCGCCAATGTGGTGTGTCTGGGTGTCAAAGATCTTCAAGGTGGGTGCTACTTGTGATGAACTCTAGAAGGATGGGGTGGTAATACTCGGTCTGGCCGTCTGGAAGCCCATAGAATTCCAGTTCAGAAACCGAGTAAGGAGGTGCGGCTACTGATGAGAAGCCTCCTTAAAGTTTATTTGGGTTAGAAACGACATCTGGGTCCCTACCCTCGCACAAGATTATTCTCAATTTTCTTGTTGTGTCCACAACTAAAGTCGTGGCGCGTATGTATTTCAATTGTATAGAATAATTTTCGCAAACAACTTCTTGGTCTGGATAGACTTATATAACGAACTATTTACTCTTTACTGTGTGGCTGTAAGCCCCTTTTTCGTCTTCCTTCTGTTCCAACTATTGTACATTCATGTTAAAGCTTGAAATATGCAACTGTTACGATCATCACGACCGATTATATGCTTAATCAACGTATCACCATATAAACGTATTCACGAAATTACACTATACTATTAATACAAGCAGTTTTTTACCTCCGAAGGGAGTTTGTTCCAATAAAGAACAACCCGCTCTGGAACCCGCTTTGACCCGCCGCGCACGAGTGTGCGGCTCCCCTGTATCGTAGAAACTCTTGTATCACGTCGTGACCCCCACACTCGTGCGCGGCGGGTCATACAACGTATGTCAAAGAAACTCTACACTCTAGTGAAACAACAATGTGGGGTCACGACGTGATACAAACCATTGTGCACTGGACCTCGCCGAGCTGTGAAGGATTGATGCATCGTGAATTAAGGAACCTTGCCGGATATCCGGCGCTGCTGAATTTTGTTCCAACCGGATATCCGGCTTCATATTTTATCCGGTTCAATTTTTAAAATGCTTAGCCCGATATTGTATCACGCGGTGACCCCCACTGCCGCTTCACTATAGTGACGCTACAGGGGGAGCCGCGCACTTCGTGCGCGGCGGGTCATACAACGTATGACAAGCCCGATATTGATTAGAAAATTCACAACTTTTCAGACCTTGATTATGTTACATTACAAGTTGGATCTCATTCATGGATGTCGGTAAAAATAGATTACGTAATATGTGAACGAATTTTTGATATACATACGCTTATTTATTATTTTGTGGTTGGTGGTTTAACAATCGACTGCGATATATCTGGATCATTTCCAATGATACTCGCTAATAAGAACACTCGTGCGCGCGAAGTTATCTTTGGTTTACCTACAGTATAGGACAATATTTACTAGTAAAAAGATTCTTCCGCTTCGCGTCTGCACCTTATCCGGTTTCCTTCCTCGGTTATAGGTCATCTCATGATAAATAAAACAAGAGTACTTTGGTATTTAGGAAATTCATCGAATCTACACTTACAAAACATTAAAGGAAATTCAACATCTCATTAATCACAATCATTAAGCATCAGAATTCAATAAAATATAACACTCGACCGCCTGCGGTCTTGGTAGTGCTAATCATTTCTGTACTATCAAGTATCATATTCATCCCTTTTTATAATATCCGATCAGTATTTTGTTGATTAATATTATAAGAACTGCGATAAGTTACTGATACCAAAGATTACATCTGAATCCTTAACATCGAGGGAGGATGAGAAAATAGCTAATTCTAATTCTATAAATAAAACACAGAAGACGGCAGGGATCAACTCTAAACCAGATACTCCGCCGGGGCCAGTGTCAAGAATTTAAAAGTCCATGCTCCTCATAATCTACGATCTGACCGCAGTGTGGTCACTAATCCTCAGCATTTGCTCCGGCGGCTGTGTCAGGGGCTCTGTCGTAGTATTCGTCCAGTGTCGTCTGGGGAATCCTTTTCAACATGTCCCTGGGTTACAGTAACATTGTTTAAACGGCTTGGTTTGAAACAAGGATGAAAATGCTCAGCGTATCAGGCACATCTGCCATATTAGAAATGATCAGCCCACGAGTAGTTTGTACCCCTAAATGTAATCCGAACCCTAACAAAACATTAAAAGTTATATCTAACCTGGGGAAGATTCTAAGTAGTTGCCAGCCAATGTCCAATGATTCAAATACTGTCCTGTTTTCATAAACACCCTGAAAAATACCGCATTATAAAGCATTATATTATCTAATGCATATAATCTAATGTATATAGTGAAATCAAAACTGTCACTAAATAAAAAAAGGACGAATTAAAATGTCGCATCTTACCTGTGAAATGAATTTCTTCTCGAATTTGTACAGGAATTCCAAATATTTGTGATCATCAGCAGACAGAGCCTCTTCTCCGACCACAGCCTTCATAGCCTGGACATCTTTACCAATAGCATAACAAGCATACAGCTGGTTAGAAACATCAGAGTGGTCCTTCCTGGTCATGCCCTCGCCAATAGCAGATCTCATGAGCCGGGAGAGGGAGGGTAACACGTTTATTGGAGGGTAAATCTGTCTGTTGTGAAGCTGCCTCTCTACGTACACCTGGGGTTATACAATGTATAATGTACAATGTATAATGTTAGTGTACTCCGTATATACGTACTACGGTTTCTCGTGTTTACATTTAAGTTCAGAACTTTGAGGTAAATTTGGTTAACCTGAAAGAATACTACTGTTTAGGATCGCATAGTGTCAAGTCCACAGTGCATACTATTACACTACACAGTACTCAGTATACATTATGTTGCAGAGTGTCTCACAAGACTTTGAGCCGACTGACTGAGGCCGAATTTAAAGGTGTTTGGACGACAAAATCTCGAAAATTTATTAAGTTAAAACTCGTCACCATGATGAGTGAAGCTGTAAACTGCAACAACCTTTGTACCTATTGCACTTTAACCAAACGTTCCAGAACATTCCAGAGGTAGCATTTATTCAGTGAAACTGTTACAAAAATTGTGTGTAATTCATATGTGGGATAGGTTTAAAGGTTACATAGTTGAAACACAGCTCACACTAGTTATCACACAACAAGTTACCTGTCCCTCAGTAATGTATCCCGTCAAATCAGGGATAGGATGGGTGATGTCATCGTTAGGCATAGTAAGAATAGGGATCTGAGTGATACTGCCATTACGTCCCGTCACACGCCCAGCCCTCTCGTAGATAGTAGCCAGATCTGTGTACATGTAACCTGGGAAACCTCGCCTACCTGGCACCTCTTCTCTTGCTGCTGATACCTGGGCAGGATCTGGTCAGTTTCTGGGAAGGGGGGGGGGGGGGGGGGGGTTCTGGCTGGCAATCAATTTGGCAATCTTCATAACAAATTAACAATTACAGTATAATAAATTATTGAGCATTGTTCTAAATCTCGGAGGTAAACATTAGAATACACGTCATGTACACCAGTGTCTTCAATTAAAACAAATAATATTACACGTGACATTACACGTGATATTACACGTGACATTACACGTGACATTACACGTGACATTACACGTGACATTACACGTGATATTACACGTGACATTACACGTGATATTACAAACCTCACGGAGGGCCTCAGCATAAGAAGTCATGTCAGTCAAGATAACGAGGACGTGTTTCTCACACTGGTATGCCAGGAATTCAGCAGTAGTGAGAGCAATCCTGGGGGTGATGATCCTCTCGATAGTCGGATCGTTAGCGAGATTCAGGAACAGCACCACGTTGCCCATAGCACCGCTCTCTTCGAAATCTTGTTTGAAGAACCGGGCTGCTTCCATGTTCACCTGTGGGCAATTAGCAGTGTTAATGTTACTGATGTAAGACTTTTATTCAGTAAGGAAAATAAGAACGGAAATAAGAACGGAAAAGGGGTAATTTTAAACCAACTTAGTAATATATCGGATTAATCACGATATGTGTTATTCATAAGTTTTGGAGAAAGCTAGGAAAAACTTACACCCATAGCACCGAAGATGATAGCAAAGTTGTCCTCGTGATCGTCGTAAATACCTTTATCAGCAGTTTTAACAAGACCAGCCTGTCGACAAATTTGAGCAGCAATGTCGTTATGAGGTAGACCAGCAGCGGAGAAAATGGGAATCTTCTGACCTCGAGCGATGCTGTTCATCACATCAATAGCTGAGATACCTGTCTGTATCATCTCCTGCAAAACACGTGATTAGAAGTGTACATTTGTTAGGAGAGGCATTTGATATTTTAACTCATTTCAACTTTCAAGTTAGGCTATGTTTTGTATTGCAGGGTATAGCAGAAAAGTGAAAAAACGCATAGCTATCTTAGCTATTTTACGTACTCTGGGGTATTCTCTAGCGTAAGGGTTGATAGGCTGTCCCATAATATCTAGGAGATCCTCTGCCATGATCGGAGGTCCATTATCAATAGGTTTACCGGATCCGTTGAACATACGACCCAACATGTCTTCAGAAACTGGAGTCCTGACGTCATCATAATTATTAGTCACGTGTAAACAGCACATTCCACACTGGTTCACAAAACTGAGATAAGATATTCAACGTGACAGTGAGTTAAATGTTAACCTGAGGATGTCCCCTGTGAATTCACATGTGGTGTGTTTAGCGTCGATACCAGGGGTCCCCTCGAACACTTGCACAATCGCTTTAGATCCACTTATCTCAAGAACCTGCAAGTGATTAAGATTGTAATTTGTATGGTGAATCTAAAGAAATTACATGCTAAATATTGCTATATTTACCGAAGTGAGATAAGAGAGAGAAGGATTGGCAGTCTACTATTATAAAGGCAACAACAGCTACAATACTTTAGTATCATGTTATGTAGTTTTCATTATTAGCTTCTGTGAAATTATAACCACAGTACAGGTAAAGGTTAACTGCGGCCCTTTACATATCAGGTATCTATTATTATTGAAAGCATCAATATTTAACCTATATCCGACCACTAAATCATTTATTCCCTGCCTTCGACAAAAATGTAAACAATAAAATGTTCACTAGTGTACAAAATTTACTTAAGTAACAATTGAGTCAAAGTAACTTAAATTTTACTGCACATATTATACAGGGGGGGGGGGGGGGGGGGGGGGGGGGAGGCAAGGAGTCAGAGCACATACGTTGGCCTTAATAGCTCAGTCACTGAATTTTGGCCCCCCCCCCCCCCCCTATATTGTCTCTCGACTAACCTGTCCACTCCTTACAGAGCCGTCAGATAGTGTCAAAGACACGATTTCAGCAAACTTGGGGAACTTAACATTGTCCAGAATAACAAGAGGTCCGTTAACACCGGTAACTGTTTTGTAGGTCATTCGAGGCTGGGCAATGTAATCCCGAGTCACAGCCGCCTCGTGCACTTTCATAAGGGCATCAGCTTTTGCTGACATCCCAAAGTCCATGAGATCACCGTTGGCTTGTAATGTCAATGCCATGATTGCTAATCAGAGCAAAGTATTTAGTTGGGTTGTAACTTGTAAGTTGATAGGCTAAATTTACAATCTGTGGAATGGTGATTCAAGTTTTATAGTTTAAAAACCACACATATAATAATACACCCACACCATGTTATACAATATACATATAACATATAGTATTGAGTTAAAAAATAAAACTTATAGCACTTTAAAGAGTGAAACACAATAACTGAGCTCAAACGTTCTTTGAAGACGTTTTGATCACACATATTTAAGAATATAATAGCAATGAAAACCTTAATAGATAATCATTGTATTTTAAAACAAAAGTAAAATAATTGCTATGATCTCCTTTCTGATAAGCAGTTTTTTGAGTGAAAATAAAAAAGTTAATATAATAGATAATATCATAATAAAAATGATATTACTATTTCCTTGGTTGTTAAAAACGAAACATGGGATCAAAAACAGCTGATAGACATAACTCCCCTCTATCAGAAACAACTATAAAGTCAATTTCGAGAGAATTTTGATGAAGACCCCCCCCCCGGCCCCCTTAAACAAATTTGTGTTTCTCCTGCACTTTCAGCATTGTATTCAACTAGCCAAGTTTCATTTCCCCATCTGGTAATACTCCGTACATCCAATCAATAACATCTCCTAAGAAACCAAGTATTAGGCTATCCACTCCGATAATCGTAACCGATAATTATCTCCGATAATTCGTTTAAAAAAGTTATCTGTTTATCTAGATAAAACATATTTTTATCGGTATAAAAATTCACTAGATATTACCGAAAATACTTCCACAATACCGTAAAATTGTAAAGAAATATTAGTGTTTTTGCCTTCCTAAGTAATCCAAGAAACAGTCCCAAACGTCTTCTAGTATGATAGAAGAGGTAGTTTACTTAGATGTGAGCTTAAGAGGTTTATTTACATTTGTATACCTTTGGAACTGTAGAACTATATGAACTGTTGAAATCCAGAGAAGGTTATTGACATTGTTCTCTTGAGGGTGCTGGCGTTTTACCTTATAATCATTCTGGAGACGGGAACAAGCATGTAACTGTTAAACAAGAGTCAAAAATACCGGCAGGGCACTCAATTGAATTCCGTAAGTGTTCTGGGCGTGAAACATTGTCTTCAGGAGTAGGAATCTGTTGCTCCAAGTTATCAACAGGTTAAGAAAACGGTTCACTGAATCACTTTAAATGCTTTACTGTTTCGAGGAGAATTGGTATTTGGTGCACTACTGTTCTCAGGAGAAGGAAACCGTTGGTCTAGTACTGTTTTGAAGAGAACTGGTAGTATACTACTGTTCTCAGGAGAAGGAAACCGTTGGTCTACTGTTTTGAAGAGAACTGGTGCACTACTGTTCTTAGGAGAAGAAAACCGTTGGTCTACTGTTTTGAAGAGAAACTTACACTACTGTTCTCAGGAGAAGGAAACCCTTGGTCAGATACTGTTTTGAAGAGAACAGGTGCACCACTGTTCTCAGGAGAAGGAAACCCTTGGTCTAATGTTTTGAAGAGAACTGGTGCACTACTGTTCTCAGGAGAAGGAAACCGTTGGTCTACTGTTTTGAAGAGAACTGGTGCACTACTGTTCTCAGGAGATGCTCTAATATTTTCAAAAGAAAGGAAGTGGTACTTTAGCAAGATTAATGGTAAACAGTAATAAAAGTCGACAATTAGTTTTTGCGAAATTTGGAAAACATTTAGGCTTTGGCCTTCTGCAGAAAAATTATCGGTTTTATCGGTTTTATCTAGATAAAACCTAAATCTTTATCTGTTTATCTAGATAAAAGATTTCATACCGATAATGGATAGCCTACCAAGTATTATATTTGCGTCAGATTTTGATAGTTTATTGTGTGAACCTGGTACTTTGAACATCTGAAGCTGTTCTGGTTTATTTTTCACTATGCCCTCTCTACTTTTATAGGCTATGTGCAAAACATCAATCTTTCCCAGGTATGATTGAAGCCACGTTGAGACAATCTTGTTAGGATGCATGTTTTAGCCTCAACATACTTTACTTTGTCGGTCGCATCTACTTCTGCGCTTAACAAAACGATTTTATTTCCAAACTTTCCTTTCAGCATTCGGTAGGAGGCTTTGATATCTGGATCCTTTTCAATCCAAAGTTCTTCAAATTTCCTGCCCCATTGTGCATTCTTGTCACCACATTTTTGTGGTGCGTCAATCTTCCTGACGATGTACATCTTTCCTGCGTACTTGCAAGCTTCTAGTTTCCAGGGATTTTAATATGATATAACTATCATGATAGTTGTGGTTGGTGTATCCTATCTCCCTCAGTGCTCCTCTTTGAGCGATGACATCTATTTCAGACAGGGATTTGTCTGACAGGGATCTGTCTTCATGACTACCTTGAACCCACATCAAGATCTCCTTCCTGTCTCCTTCTCAGCATTTTTATCATAACCCTCGTTCAAATTTAATGGTAGTTGGGGCTTCCTCAGAGTTGGTATTTTAGCCTTGTTACGGTTAACAAATTTTCCATCTCTAGTTGTTTCAAACGTACCAACTTGTTTTGGCTTGTAGGCCTTGTAATCGGATCCCTCATCATACTGGGAAGGTTCTTCATTGTCATAAACTAAAATTTGTCTTGCCATGTCTTAATTGATTTTATTTAGACTCGTTATCAATTAATAACTAAAAAAACGTATATAAAACTAGGAGACTTGAAGTAGCAAGAGAGTGACCTAGAAGATATTATATAATATATATACCTTTTACAAAAATACGTCGAAAAAGAATCCCTGGTGATACAGGATCAAAGAGTGCAGACCGTAAAGTTTACGCACCCACCCTTGCCTCCTGAATTCTTGGTTGGATAAACATTTATGGAAACTTGGTCGTTTATACTCCAAGTCCCATAGGGGGGGGGGGGGGGGGGTCAACCTCATTTTACCTCATTTTACCTCATCCCGATTTTGCCTTTTTTGGCTGCCCGAATGAGGTAAAATGAGGTAAATTTCGGAAAATTTTTATAGATCATGATTCTCGTTCTTAAATAATTTTGCCGATAATCCCGTTAGTTTACTCAAATCAGACATCCTGAGCTACTTGCCAGTGATTTAGTCTTATGGGAACGTATTCATGGTACTGGTAGAGCACAGCAAGGCCGACCAAGACAAAGCTACTTGTCTATGTTACTGGAGGAAATTGGGACAAACTCTAGAGAGGAACTGCGAACCCTGATGCGGGACAGGGATATAGAGTAGCCCGGTTAAAAATTGATGAAAAAAATGGACAAGTTAGCTGACCTCCCCATTATTTCATCATCATGCCTTCAATGAAAAGAACTGTAAATTATCATACACTTGTACTTGAATATGACACATTTCTTACAACAATTGAAAACAATGCGTTTCATACTTTATTGAAAGTTATGGTTTCAGTGAAGTAATCTTGATAGAGATGTTTGAACCAACTGTATTATTAAACAGTAAAAACATGAATAATATTATGCATATATCGGTACATATCGCAATCTACATAATAATAATGGTAATAAAAAATAAGGATTTATACATCGCTTTATAGCAGAAAAGAGCTCAAAACCAGAAGATTCAGTTCAAGTCATCTACAGCGAATCATGAACATTGAACATGTACATAAGAACTTAGAATTGTATGAAGTATGAGTTTATATGAGTAATTTATTATGAAATGACCTTTCACTATGCAATTTCGACTAAATTCATGTAGATATCCAATCCAGTTCCATGCACAACTGTTGTCTACAATTGGTCTAGTTATACACAATTTGTTTCAGAGTGACTGGATAATCGCAATATCAAATTAAGATATTATTTAAATGGTCCATGTCATGCAATGCGGAAATATCCCCATAAATTGGCAACTAAAGTTATTGCTAATTCCTTTACAAAACCTAGCAAGTGCTTCCCCCGTCGTCTGGAGTGTGTGATTTTTGTTGATGTCCGAGCTCTTATATTTATCTTTAGTTAATGGTTAACTTTCTGTGATTGGACTCGGTATTTTCGTCCCGACCGAGTGGGACGATGCTTGCTCGCCAGTTAAGCCAGATAACACTAATTTCTACAAACCACAGAATATTAAATATAAAATGTGTCCAGTATGGCACAAATGCATAATTTGATAATTTCTTGACGCCGTCGTCGGGGTGAGAGTTATCTGAACCAACTGCATGCCCCTACGATTGCGTCACCACTGGTGAGCAAGCATTTGTTTGTTGTTTAGTTGTGTTTTTTTATTAAATACTTTTCAAATTTTACAGAGTACGGTACAGCAATAGATGAATATAAAATAGAATCGTTCAAAATATCGCCCCCATCTGTAAAATATGATGGGCACCCAAACACGGTAAACACATAGTGAACTATGTCCGCAGTAACTTGGACCCATTACATCGAATTAATCTAAATCCAAAAATTTATGAAAAACTATTTAATAACAAACAAATCCATGGTGAATAACTGTGGATATAGAGTCAAAATTGGAATTTCAATACGTCAAATTCCAGATACATTAGATACAGGTCCGAAATGGTCATTAATGTGTGAGAAAGTATAGGAAGGTAGATAAAAAAATTAATAAAACAAAAATAATAATAATATGGGGAGCAAAGAGACTAGGCTAGACTGTTGTTTCACTATCCAATAAACATTTCCATAGATGCTTAGTGACCTCAGCTTTGAAAAGACTAGTAGACACAATCTGTCTTACCTTAAAGGGAGTCCATTCCACAGTATATGGGTTCTGTAGAAAAATGATTTTGCCAGTGGGCTATTTGAGGTACATGTGGTGTGTGAATTCTGACTTAACTTAGGTAAAATTGATGACACAATAGACAGACTGTCGAGGTGGCAACGTCTTAGTCGAGAAGTGCCCTGATATAAAGAGAGATAGTGAGGCAGCGATACAGGAATTAAATTGTTAAGAACTTTGTGGAAAAAAATAAGATCATTCAAGTCAAACTTTTGAGACAAAGGGAGAATGTCGACAAGCTTGCACTTTTTGACATATTGCTCAGGTGGATAACTGCGGCCCTCTTCAGACAGGGAACATTACTTGATTA